TTGACCTCAGTGTGTGGGGTTTTGACACCAAATTTCCAAATCTAAAAAACTAAGGCTGTTGTTATTACATGTCTTAACGAGGAATTGTAATTCAGGACAATAGCTATCAAAGATGTTTTTAGTATAGTTGATATATTTAGTCTGTACACATATAAGGATATGATCCACATACCGTACATACAAAGGAACATCAAAACATAACTTCTTTGAGCATGAAATTTGAAGGAAACGCATTAAAAGATCACACAGAATCCGACTACAGGGACTGCCCATTGGAGAGCCGAAAACATGTTTATAAAATTTGTTGTTGAAATGGAAAAAAGTCAAATTCAAAATCAAAGACACACCCGTGCAGAAATCATTAAGAATAACTTCGACCTTATCATTCAAGAATTTCCAAAAATGTTTTACTGCATTTATGATTAAGTTTTTACTAGTATTGGTAAATAAACTAACAACATCTAGACTGATAAGAGTGTAACCAGTTGGAATGATAAGATCTTTTAATTTTTGTTTAATTTATAACCACATTTTGTGTGTGATTTTGCCAGCGGAATATTGTAAATCAAAAAATCAGAAAAACTAAAACTGGGTGAATTCAGCGTTAAGACAATGATACGGATAGGAAAGTCTTTTTGTTTATTTTTGTTAGTCTGCATCATTTAGATAAGTCTTTTTTATAAATATCTTTATCAAACTTATTTAATTCATCAAAATTACCGTATTGATCTCACTTGCTTACAAAATTTTAGTATCTTTAATTAATTGCTTTAAAGGATTATTTTCTAGCTATAAATAATATTTATCGTTTTTTAACAATTCTTCTACTTCATCAACGTAAGTTTCATTGTCAACAACAACACTGACATCACCTATCTCTACTTCAGTAATTAAAATGTGTTTATTACTTTTAAAAAAGGATCCTACTTACTTTAAATTGTTTTGGAGAATTTCATCATTTAAAGAAAGACGAGTAGATACATTGTGTCTATTCTTATCAATAATGTTGAATAGTCCTTTTTTAACTGTCTCAAATTCTCCGGAACATTTAAGTGAATGTTCAACATTCTTAAAAAGACGAAAATGTGATTTTTAATAGCTGTTGTCCTGAATTACAATTCCTCGTCAAGACATGCAATAACGACAGCCTTAGTTTTTTAGATTTGGAAATTATCATTCAACAAAATAATACAGTACTAACTAATTGGTACCAAAACCCCACACACAGAGGTCAATACTTGTATTTTCTCTACCATTATGCAATACAAAATGAAATAGGTATCATTTACACATAAATAGACTTTTCCACTAAATGAGCAGACACTCAATTCCATAATGATCAATAGATTTCTACTAGCTAACAACTATTCCCAAAGATTAGTTGATAAATTTTCAAATAAAAGAATAATTACGTTAAAGAACATGAGAATGATTGACAATCGTAATAGAAATGATGATAACTATAAGTAAATCTTATCATTACCGTATACTTCCCACTAGCACAGTCCTATTAAACATTATTGTAATAAGCTTTAATAATTGTTGTAATAAGCTTTACATGGGTTTCGTACACAGTTTAAACAATAAACTGAATTCGATCTGAATTTTTACTTGGAAATGATCTAACTGAGCCACTCGATAAAATAAAGTCGTTTACCACATACTATGTGCAAGTTGCAACTGCTGTCATGTCGATCAAGCATCGGACCTGTAAAGTTAAGAATGGCAGAACATAAAAGAGGCATAGAAATTTATAGGCATTAAATTATTTTATTTTGTATTGCATGGTGGTAGAGAAAATACAAGTATTGACCTCAGTGTGTGGGGTTTTGGTACCAATTAGTTAGTACTGTATTGTTTTGTTGAATGATAATTTCCAAATTTAAAAAACTAAGGCTGTTGTTATTACATGTCTTAACGAGGAATTGTAATTCAGGACAACAGCTATTAAAAATCACATTTTCGTCTTTTTAAGAATGTTGAACATTCACTTAAATGTTCCGGAGAATTTGAGACAGTTAAAAAAGGACTATTCAACATTATTGATAAGAATAGACACAATGTATCTACTCGTCTTTCTTTAAATGATGAAATTCTCCAAAACAATTTAAAGTAAGTAGGATCCTTTTTTAAAAGTAATAAACACATTTTAATTACTGAAGTAGAGATAGGTGATGTCAGTGTTGTTGTTGACAATGAAACTTACGTTGATGAAGTAGAAGAATTGTTAAAAAACGATAAATATTATTTATAGCTAGAAAATAATCCTTTAAAGCAATTAATTAAAGATANTAAGTAATAAACACATTTTAATTACTGAAGTAGAGATAGGTGATGTCAGTGTTGTTGTTGACAATGAAACTTACGTTGATGAAGTAGAAGAATTGTTAAAAAACGATAAATATTATTTATAGCTAGAAAATAATCCTTTAAAGCAATTAATTAAAGATACTAAAATTTTGTAAGCAAGTGAGATCAATACGGTAATTTTGATGAATTAAATAAGTTTGATAAAGATATTTATAAAAAAGACTTATCTAAATGATGCAGACTAACAAAAATAAACAAAAAGACTTTCCTATCCGTATCATTGTCTTAACGCTGAATTCACCCAGTTTTAGTTTTTCTGATTTTTTGATTTACAATATTCCGCTGGCAAAATCACACACAAAATGTGGTTATAAATTAAACAAAAATTAAAAGATCTTATCATTCCAACTGGTTACACTCTTATCAGTCTAGATGTTGTTAGTTTATTTACCAATACTAGTGAAAACTTAATCATAAATGCAGTAAAACATTTTTGGGAATTCTTGAATGATAAGGTTGAAATTATTCTTAATGATTTCTGCACGGGTGTGTCTTTAAATTTGAATTTGACTTTTTTCCATTTCAACAACAAATTTTATAAACATGTTTTCGGCTCTTCAATGGGCAGTCCCTGTAGTCCGATTCTGTGTGATCTTTTAATGCGTTTCCTTTAAATTTCATGCTCAAAGAAGTTATGTTTTGATGTTCCCTTGTATGTACGGTATGTGGATCATATCCTTATATGTGTACAGACTAAATATATCAACTATACTAAAAACATCTTTGATCCTGAATTACAATTCCTCGTTAAGACATGTAACAACAACAGCCTTAGTTTTTTAGATTTGGAAATTATCATTCAACAAAATAACACAGTACTAACTCATTGGTGTCAAAACCCCACACACTGAGGTCAATACTTAAATTTTCTCTCCCACCATGCAATACAAAATGAAATAGGTATCATTTACACATAAATCGACTTTTCCACTAAATGAGCAGACACTTAATTCTATAATGATCAATAGATTTTTACTACCTAAAAACTATTCTCAAAGATTAATTGATAAATTTTCAAATAAAAGAATTAATACGTTAAAAAACATAAGAATGATTGACAATCGTAATAGAAATGATGATAATTATAAGTGAATCTTATCATTACCGTATACTCCCCACTAGCACAGTCTTATTAAAAATTATTGTAATAAGCTTTACATGGGTCTTGTATACAGTTTAAACAATAAATTGAATTCGATCTTTTTATTTGAAAATGATGTAACTGAGCCACTCGATAAAAATAATGTCATTTTCCACATACCATGTGTGAATTGCAGCTGCTGTTATGTCAGCTGAGAGCTGTTAAGTCAAGAATGGCAGAATACAAAAGAGACATAGAGAAAAAATAGATAAATCTGTTTTATCACAACATAGCATTGAATTTACACATAACTTTAATTTGCAAAAATAAAAACTTTGAACATGGGACAAAATTACAAAAAACGATGTTTTTCCAAAATGTTTAATATAGATTACTTTAATGATAATATTAATAGACAATAAGATAAAGAGAAATTAAAAATTTGTTATAAGTCTTTCGTTAAGTCAATCAGGAAAGGGGACGAACATGATATCTATGATTTCAGGACCCCTTTCATTTGTAGTGTTAGGAAAACATGAGCTGTTTATGTACGTCTAACAAGGAACCGTTTGCGACTCTTATTTGATTGTATTGTATTTTACCATAATTTGTATAGTAAAGAGTTTTTGTAACTCACAGATTTTTATACCTGATGAGGGCCGGGACATTGTCCAAACGGCCGAAAGGTCATTCTGTTTTTTAATAAATACAAAAAATGACAGTACTACCATTAGACGATGTTCTTAATTATTTACTAACTGTCATTGGAGATCTTATTCGAATTGATTGATAATTGTTGTACCATGCGAATTGATGAAATTAGTCACGAGAAGAATTATTTACTTTATAATAATTAGCTTGGGATATATTTCTCACTCATTATAGGATTATCGGGATATGAGTTGACAGACAGCAAAGGCCTGTTTACTTATCCATTTTAGTATAATTGAAATAAAACCAAAACAAATTAAGGGAACAAATTAAGTAAGGAAATACCTCTTTTGTTTGTTGTGAAATATTTGATACAAAAAAGGTTTTTTTAAAAGTAATTAATTACTTTTTTGAGCATCAAAGAGCATAAAATCATCTTTTTTCAAAATTTTTTTTTTTACGAGTCTTACTTTGAACAATCTACATTTTGTTCCTGATAAGTACCACCCACGACAAATAAATTATCTCTTATACCACTAATGTTACTACTAAAGTTAATCTGTTATAGTATGACAGATAGAGATCTATTATAGATAGAGATGTTGTCAGTTCATGCCCTAAAGACAGCGCTTACAGTGCATGAGCAATAGACACATGGCAAGTTAGCCACTCAAGCTTGGCCCTCTTCCTGTTGGAACTCTGAAACTATCATCTTGGGTGCGTCTGCTCCCTTGTTTAAAGGTGAATAAAATGCTAAGTTATCTTAATCGTTTTTTCTGCACTCCCAAGCTTTACAATCTCTGAATAACAGGGAGTATCATAGTTCTTAGCATTAAAAAAAAACTATAGTTAGATCCTAATTTTTTTTTAAATGAATAAATGTAAGTAAAACAATAACCTTGGAATGTTATTGAAAGACCCATGAGAATCCATTAAGTCATCAAAAAAGTAAACATTTCGTACATTGTAAGATGCTTTCGTTTCATTTTTGAACTTTAGTGCCTTTGGCATCACACGTTTCATCAGCTCTTTCCACGTAGTATCTTGTACAGGCATTATAACTTCATCTACGTCAAGTAACGCTATATACTCATACTCATACATATGTTTATACAAACAGTCATTATACGGTATAAGCTCATTTTGACGCTTGTGATTTGTTTTTTTTGTGAGATACATATGCTGAAAAGCAGGTAAGTTAGGTTGTCCACCAGGCAGCGTAAGGGGTGTGACGTGAACCTTACCTAACTGTTCGTAGTATTGTAAGACTTTACTAACATTAGGGTGCACTTGCAGTTGGTAAAAAAATATTTTATCTGCTCCCAATAATCCAATCAGCTCGATCCATTCAATAAGTCTTATTGAAAGATCTTCGTGCAAAAAATCCAAACCTTTAACACACACTGCAAAATCTTTTTTTTTAGGAGGTTTGTTGTAGATAACTTTCAGACTATTTTTAGCTGTATCACAACGTTTTTCAACTAAGGAAATCGAGGCAGGAGGACCTTTTTGCCAATGTGACTGTGGTACCTTACATGCTATGACATATGGTTGATAAATATCTTGTTTATAATTTCCCCACTTGGAATACCAAATATATTTGTATTCAAATACATCTACAATGCGAGCTTCACGTTCACCTTTGAACCACATTTGGCAGAAACATTTCACAGTAGGTTCTATCCTATTAATCATACCAATGATCCGTATAGCTGGGCCGATGCGTGACAGCTTGCGGTTATCATAAAAAGCATCAAAAAGCTGGAAGGTACCGTTACTCGTATGCAATGTCTGCCAATACAAATTATTAAATTCAAGTTCAAACACATTTGGATAAAGAGGGGTACAATTTTGTTTTGTTATTTTTGTGGATTTTGCTTGCCCAAATTTTATAAAATTAGTCCAATAAGATAGTGGCAAACTAGGTAATCGTGCTTCAATTTCATTAATTAATTCATCTTCGGTCTGTAAGGGCTGGTGAACAAGATTGAGTTGGAAGTTAATAAGATTACTGATGGTACTATTATCACCATTATGTACATTTAACCCGTAAGCTTTGCTTCTTTCTTGTTTGGGTTGGAATTGACTGGTACTTATCTGTTTTTGCGAATTAAATCGACGAGCAGTATCACTTTGGAATTCATTTTTTGAGTCTGGCAGAAGACCCACTTCACTACTAAATGCGTTAAAAAAGAAGTTTTTATGTCCAGAATGTCGAAATTGGACTGTGGCAATAACAAAAAGACCCCAGACTAGAAGGATAATAAGAGCACGCCTAGCACAACGAGAGCTTCCAGTTGAACAGCTTTGTAAAACCATGTTATCTAAATGCAATTGATTAACTACATACAGCTACCCATTTGGTGCAGCACCTGCAAAAAAAATTATCATGTTAATTAGTTTTTTGTACAAAAGACATCTTATTTTTTGTCAACATATTTAAAGTATTAACATGTTTAACTTTATACGAAATGACTCCTGTAATTGTTGAACATTCTTATTTCTGACATATATATATTAAAGATACTGATATATTTTGTATAAGTAAGGTTGTACGCAATGAAACACTTTGAGTATATACCATAATGATAGTTCAACTTTAATATATGTGATAAAAGGTAGTACTGTACAGAGGCTTGGCTTAACATCGACTGCGCGTTCTTTTGTTCTCAACAAGTAGTAAAACTCCATGAGTGCTACAAGCGCTGCTTACGTCATACATAGCCATACACATACAACTTCCCTCCTTTTAGTTTAAAAATTACCCTTCCAGTTAAAACAGTGTGTGTAAGTGATTACTAAATTACTTACTATAAAAATACTGAGCATAATTACTTCATTTGTTCAGCTTTCAATCTCTTTAAGCGTCGTAGTTGAGTTTTGTCGGAAAACTACTCAATCTTCCTTCTTTTTAAATTTTCAAATTGTCTGATGTTAATTAATTGATTCGCATATTTTTAGCAAATTACTCTTTATCCATTCTTATTTCATATATAACTGGTGTGATTTGTTTTACCACCACTGCTTTTGAATTACCTACGGGATTATTTGTAGAAACTTTTGCATAAATAGTTTCTCTAACAGAAAAAAACATTTGCCCTCATTTGTCTAATACAATTCTTGAGAATGCTGCTTCTTTTCATTTGCTACTTGTAAGGTAGGTTTTAATAAATGAAATCTGTTCAACAAATATTCAGCCGCACTGAACGTAGCTGGAGGGTAAGATGGTGAAAAAGTCTGATTTACTCCATTTCTTTTCAAAAACTCACGAAGTTCTATGCTTTTAAGTTGCAGTCTATTGTCGCTTACAATATCATCTGGCAAACCAGGACGGCTGAAGAGTGTTTTAAAAATCGAAATAAGTGTACACGATTGAGTATTTTTCTTCATATTAATTATTTCTGACCATTTAGAATGAGCGTCAATCATTACTAAAAACATATTATCACAAAAAGGACCTAAGAAATCTATGTAAAGCTTAGACCAGGGCTTGCTAGGCTATTGTTACCGAGTAAGTGAAATTTTTGTAGTTTCTAGACGTGATTCCAAGCATATTTTGTAAGTACTTGCTATAGCATTTATATTTTCGTCTAACTTTGGCCACCAAGAACAATTTCGTGAAATTTTTCTCATTTTGAAAACTCCAAGATGTGTAGCATGTAATTCTTCAAGTTAGGTATTATGCAGTGTTTTGGGTATCACTATTATATATCCTCTTATCAAAAATTTATTTTCAAAACAAAACTCCGTACATTTGTAAAAAAGAATTTTTCCTGATTTAGTTAACGATTTTTATTTTGAAGGCCAACCATTTTTCCGGATAATACATTTTTTTTTTAGGAGTGGATCATTTGCCGTTCAGTTTGCTACAATCTATTTTTTTAAATCTTTTTTCGGTAGCCCCTCAATAATATAATTAAGATTTGTGTATTCCATTTCAAATACATAAGTATCGTCATCAATAGGTATTCTCAACAGCATGTCGCAGTTACCATTTGCATTTGACTTCAAAAATTCTATATCATACTGAAAACCGGAAAGGAAATACGCCCATCTTTGCAAATGACTTAGAGTTAACATAGATAAACTTTTATTCGACCCAAAAATGAATTTCAAAGGCTCATGATCTATTTGTAGCATAACGTGATTTCTTACTGTATATTAGTAAAAGTTTTTAAATCCAAAAACAATTGTTCCAACTTCTATATCCAATATTGCTCTATACAGCTCATTTTTGGGTATCTTTTTGGATGGGAAGCCAACAGGTCCTTTTAAATCATCATGAAAGAGGTGTAAGAGTACCACTGAAAACCGCATTGACAAGCGTCACATGCTAGAATTAATGGTTTATTTGGATCATACAGAGTTAAAACCTTGTTCAAAGTGATTTGCCTTTTAATTCAAACAAATGTTTTTAGGCACTCATCATCACAATGCCAAACATTTCTCATTTTTAATTCATACAAAGGTTTCAAATAATTAACTCGATTTGGCAAAAATCTTTTGTAAAAATTCACCAAACCTGAAAAAGCTTCTAATTCCTTTTTACATGTAGGTATTGGTGCATTTTTTATTACGGTGATTTTACTTCGTAACGCCTGTAAACCATTTTTATTAATAATAAAACCCAAGATTTTGATTTCATTCTTAAAAAAATTGCATTTTTTTAAAGTAACTTTCAAGCCAGCGTTTTCCAACCTATGGAATACTTTACATACGTTTACATGCTCTTTTTCATCCCGACCTGTACAGTAAATATTGTCGATATAAATTTCTGTAGGACGAACGCCTGTTAGTATATCTTCTAAGATATCTTGACATTCCGCAGAACAAGAAGCAACCCCTTCCAGCAACTTGGTGTATCTAAATAAATTATTCTCATTTACAATAGTTAAAACGTCTCTCTATTTTTTGTCTACACTAAACTGCATGAATGCATGCTTCAAATCTATTTACGACCAAGTTAAACCAGAATTCAAAGTTTTTAAAATTTTCTTTTCATAGGAATCAGATGCCTTTAATTAATTATTGAGGGCTTACACCCATCTTAAAATTTCCACTAATTCTCACTTCTCCATTTTTTCAAGTACTTGAATTATAGACATAGCTCACTGACTAACTGAGACTGGCTCTAAGCTCCCTACTTTTATCGTTTCTTTGCTCGCCAGTGCTATAGCTGTATGATACGGTTTAATTTGTACAGGTTTAACATCGTCTTTAAATGCTAAATTAATCTTCCAACTCTTATATTCACCTTCACTATGAGTAAACAAAATTTTATTTACAGGGATGTTATTGATTTTTAAAAGCCAGCAGTCAAATTCTCTGAAACATCAGCGTCCTAATAACATTGGCCCGTCACCACGCTATACAAAGCCGTCTAATACACGCTACATTCCTTGAAACTTCACATTCAAGTTTTCATAATTCCCAGAATTTTTAATTTAGTCTGCCCCAAACTATCCCCAAATAATTGAATCTTATCCGATTCTGATACCACATTTATAATTCAATTTACAAAATTATAGTAATATTAATCATGTTGAGTTCGAAACTAAGGTAGACAAAGGAGCCAAGGAGGATCCTATATTCACGACTATTGATTCTATAAATGCGATTAATTCAGAGGTATTTTCAAACTCGGTGAAAGCTGAGCTTTTATTTTTTAACATTGAAATTGAGGGAATTCAAGTGAAAATGGAAGTTGATACAGGCGCTTTAATTGTTGTAGTCAATTTAATCACCTTGTCTAATGTTAGATTTTCTTCACTTAATAAGGCCACTTTTGAATGATGATTATAATGCCGCAAATAACTTGATCTTTCATAGCATTATTTAAATCAGTGACATTACAATACCATGTTAGTTCCTTCAATCGGGCGATATAATTGGCAATACTTTATGGTGTAGCTTGCTTTGCTTGTTGAAACTTACATCATTCCATTGCCTCGTTACGGTTAAGATTGAGGTAATTCTTTACAAGCTTGAGAATGGTGTCGAAACTTTTGTCTTTTGGTTTTGCTAGAGCGCACAATTAACATACAAGCTTATACAAATCCAACCCGGCCTTAGTACAGCTACCTGTCCTTGTTCTTTTAACGTCATATGTGAGATAATACATTTCTCTCCGTGTTACATACATGTCCAAGTTGTCCTTCCTTAGATTAAATCCTATTCTACCTACACCATTCACCATTTTAATTACTTCAGCCTTTTTCTCAACTTTAGCTTTCAACAGTTTTTTTTTCATTTTCTCCACTCTTTTAAAGTCAAGAAACCGCACACAGTAATATTTGGATGATCACTGATACCCTTTATTAAATCTTCTTTTTTTTCGTATACAACGAAGATTATTTATCTTCAACTTCTTCGTCTTCACTATGTTTCGTATCTCCTATAAGCTATGGGTAGCTTTTTTTTTAAATCCTCATCGCCAATTATAATGTTTTATATCGTTGAGGTTGTACTTAATAAAACACTTTGGGTGTGTATCATAATGCTAGTTCAACTTTAATATACATGATAGAAGATAGTACTGTACAGAGGCTTGGCTTAACATTAACTGCCCGTTCTGTTGTTCTCAATAAGTAGTAAGACTTTATGAGCGCTACAAGCACTGCTTACGTCATACATAGCCATACACACACATTACAAATACTAACATCCATAAGATACTTCAAAAATGCAGGGCATGTTTGAAAAAAATGAAGAGGCTTATCCAGAAGCAAGTTTTTTTTGTGTACCTATTTTATTATTCCATTTTATATTCCAGCTAGATACAATTAAGCGTTGAATTATTTTATGTCAAACCTTTTTTAAGTATTGGTAACTGTTTTTTACTTGATAAATATTCTTGCAAAAATAATTCCATCTTTTTTTGGTTTAAGCATGGACAAGAAATTAATTAAAAAAATTTTTAACTAGTGTAATAGAAAGTTTCCTTTTTCTTGAGCTTGGAATAATCGAAAAAATTTTTTTAAATTATTACGTACAGTTAATAAGTTTCGAATATTATCTAAAAATTTAGAAAATGTAAGATATCCTGAAAAGTCCTCAATTAAAAAATGTATATTTTACTGAATTAATAAATAATAAGGTACACTTTTAATTTATAGTATTCTTTTTAAAAATGTGAACATTGGTTCTAAATCCACAAAAATAACCAGGCAGTTGTAAGAAAGCTTAAAAAAAAAAGAAAAGAACACAAGATGAATATTGTTAATCAAGAAACTATTCGTAAAAAGATATAGGGATCATTATAGCATAACAAAGATAATAAGAAACCAGTGAGGGGAGAACTATAGTCTTTAAATACGCTATACGTGAATACATCCAAAAAAATTTGCATCAACAAGAAAAACATGTATCTCTC